TTTTTTTTTTTTTTTTTTTTTTTTGGTAGTATTCTTTGATATTTGTTGAATAATTGTGTTTTGGGTGGTTGTTTGAAATGGATTCAAATATGAGATAGATCTGCATTTCTGGGTTTTTGAGTTTCTTTCTTCGTATTTTCTGGCCTGCCCGCTTCATTAAATGAGCGATTTGGTTTACCCATTAAATTTTTTTCCTGGCTCTGTGCTCTTTCTTTGTCACTGTAATTAATATCTGGTGGGTTTCATGAGATGTGATATTGCTTTCATTTTGATTGTCAATTGACCATTTTGGCTTCTGTATGTCATTGTATCACCTTGCCAATTTCCATTTGCTAACAACTAGAATTGCTGCAGCATCTAATTACCTTTTCCGGGTGTGTGCGGTACCATAGCTACTGTTTCTTGAATGTAAGATGGAGGGTTACTGAGTTTTGTCAATCACCTGTTTGGATAGTGGAAACTGGGAAAGTGAAAGAAGTTGAAAGGCAAAACTTGTACTTACACTCTTACCTCGGATAAATTCCATTATTTCTAGCCGCTTCTGTTGTATCATTTCTGTTGAGATTAATATAGTTTTAGAGCAACTGGTACATGCAGCCAAAGGCTTGTTTGCAATCTTGGTTAACCACTCGAAGTTTACTAGAGAACTTTACAGAACTTGATCTATAAGACTGTGTTGGATTAATTGTTGAGGTGCTTGTTAGAAAATGACTGGAAAATTGAATTTAAGGTTGTCTGAATTCATTTGCTGCGTTGGTTGTTAGAAAATGTCAGTAAAATTGAATTTTAAGTTTATATTTGAAAGCACTTGCTAAGTTGCATGTTTAATTAGTTATTGATGCTTTAGGAAAGCTAGTGCTCAGGTTCTCCATGGATGGGACAGTTTTAGGACCTGCTCAGGTCCAACAGCACAACTGAACCTGAATCATAGCAATGTCAGCATTTTTTACTGTTATCTGATTTGGTAGTTTTCTTTTGCATAAGCAGATACATGATACTAAAGAATTTAATGGAAGACAAGCAACTGGATTTTAATCAGCCACTTCTTTCTGTGAGGCGTTTCTCATCAATGGTGGCTACATCTGAATCTGAGGAAAAAAAGGGAAGTGACAATTTACTACCAAAAGTACCTCCTCTTCCTGTTTATAAATCAGAGTTGAAGTCAGGTCCAGTGAGAAATGCAGGAACAGTTCCTTTTAAATGGGAGCGGTCACCAGGACAACCCAAGGATGAAAGCAAGTTACAAACTGGCATTCTTGAGCAGCTAACCACTGTTCCAAAGCTTCCACCTGGGAGGGTTTTGAATGTTAAACATCAATCTTCTGAAAATTGTGTTGATGGCAAATTAGTTACTCCATCCCAAACAGGAGCTATGTCTTCCACTTTTCAAAATGTGTCATGTTCAGATAAGAATGTAAAAGAATATGAGAGCTCCAATGGAGAAATAGAGGAGACTGGGATCTCGGGCTCAGAAGATAATGACGAAGCTTATGTTGATGCACTTGACTCGCTTTCAAGGACTAATTCATTCTTCTTGAACTGTAGTGTAAGTGGTGTAAGTGGGTTGGATGGTCCAGATATCAGACCATCTGGAATCTTCTCAGCAGATCCACAAACTCGGGATTTCATGATGGGTAGGTTCCTGCCTGCAGCAAAGGCTATGGCATCAGAAACACCTGCATATGCTACCAGGAAACCACCAATAGTACAAGAGCAGCCAAGGCATACAAAGAAGGCAGTTTGCCAGGATAAGCAACGTCCAGTTTGTCAGTTTAGCTCAAACAACTTTCCACCTCACAGATCACATACTGAATCAGGAGTAAGTGAAGATGAGGATGATCACAATGGGCTTGAGGACCCATCAACTAAAGTTTGTGGGTTATTGCCTCATTTTCTGCTTAAGAGTACTCTCTGTCTTTTTAATCCAGTCATGGGGATGAAAATCCAGACCCAGAAACCAGTATCTGTTCGTAGAGTACATGCTAAATCTTCGTATTTGGTACCTTCCACTGAAACTGATTATGAGGTATCAAAGATCATTTCTTCTTCCTTAAATTCAATCCCTTTCTTTCTCCCTCTGTATTTCTCTCTGTTTTAGTAAGTTTTTTCTTTTTTCTTTTTCTTTTTTTTTTTTAAGTCAAATACTAGATTTCTGTTTCTGCAGCATTCTAAGGTTTCTGCATATGAGAAAGGAACAACAGTCCTGTTCCAAAAGGAGGAGCATCATGTAGTTAAGAATGAGCTTAATGAGCTTAATAGTAAATCTAGCAAGATCAGCTACAGAGGGAATTGTCAGAAACCAGATGGATCATCTCTTTATAGGTGTTTGCAGGGCAATGATGCATCAGCATATTCAAGAGGATGCTCCTACTCCATGCATCAAGAGAAAGGAAAACTTGGTATTCATGAAAAATCTAGGAATTGTAGGGCTAATGAATTTGAAGCACACGAAAAAGAAAGCAATAGTTTTGGAGAATTATTAATGGCTCCAGAGGGTTCTAAATCACAATCAGTTTCAGCAAGTCCTGCAATTGAGAAAACTCTTTACATAGATTCACTGCATAAGGTAAAATCTCCAGATTCAAGTTCTTCAGATGCAATTAAGTTGAATGATCCAAAGAGTGATGATTTTGCGATTCTTAAGAGTAGGGAAATGAAAGAGACTCCTTCAGTGGATTCTTCGGATCAGTTTATCATGGACTTGAATCTCACAGTTGAGAAGGCGGTATTGCTAGGTAAAAATGTGGAGTCTGCTCGTAACATGCAAATGGATGCAGGAAATGGTAACAGAAGGGATCATGAGTTGATCCAGGATTCCAGTAAATCAACATACCCAAAAGTGACTAAGAATGAAAAGGTTGATCTAAAAAGACAATTGCTTATAGGATTAAGTGACAAAGCAAGTTCTCATGAACCATTCCTGGACGGCGCTTTGTGTAGAAGCTCTAAAGAGGCTGACCACATAAAGATTGCTTCAGAAAGCCACTGCCGCTGGAAATCAAGTAATCAAGAAACATATAACAACAGCTGCTCACAACTTCCACTTGCCCTAGCTTTACCAAAATCTCCATCTGATTCTTGGTTAAGGCGTGCACTGGCTGCTGTTTCCTCAAAGAGTTCATCCTCACACTCTTCTTCTGTGTCACATAATTATAGCAGAAATCAAGCAGCCAAGTCTTTGACTGCTGATCCCAAGTGGGTAAACACTATTAGAACTTCCAATGGATGGCAAGGGCATTTGCAATGCGCTGAGGTAATTTCAAGAATGTTTCACGTCAATATTTACACTTACCATTTGTTGAGAATCAATTAATACAAACTTTTCATGTATAATTCCTTTTGTCTCAGGAGCTGCTCACTCCTATACCAGAAGAATAGAAGTACAGGGTCCATCCATTTGCTTTCTGTGGAACGTCCATCGTTGTAGGGTTTGAAGTTGTTGAAGAATCTAGTTTTAACCTCCTTGTAAAGTTCTCCTTATGCTCCTATTCAGTTACCTTGCTCAACATACATTGTCTTTGGATGGAGCTGCCCGCAAGTAAATCTTCATGTAATAAGACGGTACAGTTGTCATTTCTTGTAAATCACATGAAGTCATTAAACATAAGTGTGATACTGCATTCTTTTGTAATAAAAAGAATAACGCTGTTTTAAGCATTTACCGTTGGCCGAAGCTCAGGAATTTTCAGTCATTGCTGTTACTCAATTCAAAGTGTGAACGCTATCATTCGTCATATGACTCATATCTATTAGCATCTGTTGTTCACTGCTCCCAATCCTCCGTCTGTTTATGCTATAGTGATAGCGTTTCTAATTGGTTCGACAAGCACCATTGCATTACTAATTATGCTTTTGAAAGAATTTCGGTTTATAATGGTAGAGAAAAAGAGTAAATAAAGATGTCAACTTTATTTTTTTTTATTTAAAGATGTTAATATTTAATTTTTTTTATTTAAAAAATATTAATTTTTAATTTTTTTTATTTAAAAATATTAATTTTTTATTTTGTATTTAAAAATATTAATTTTTTATTTTTTATTTAAATATTAATTTGATGAAAATACTAATGTGACAAACGAGGTTCTTAATTAAAATATTAAAAGTTGATATTTTTAAATAAAAAAATTAAAAATTAATATCTTTATTTAAAAATTAATAAAATTAATATTTTTAAATAAAAAATAAAAAATTGATATTCTTATTTATAAATTTTCTCTACAATGATACTTGACCTGGTAAAATTGGAACTAACCGGCAAATTCAACTCAAGCACCCCCTGAGTCAATTAATGAGTGTTGAGTATATCTGATATTTGTGAGTAACTCACCTGTTTGAGTAGCTGTAAATGTAAAAAGACAATTAAATACTGGTATGAAAAATGCTTATTTATCTAGAAATGAGTTTTGCTTCTTCTTTGTAAGAGTAAAGAGATTTAGTTGAATTTTAATTTTAGAAACAGATAACAATATGTAACTATATTTTTTAAGGTCAAATTAAAATATTATTATATTATAAAAATTATTAAAATTATTAATAAAAAATACCCAATAGACCTTTAAAATTTCTCAATAAATTCCTTTAAAATCTTCAAAAAAAAAAAAATACCCATAAGATTTCAAATTAATACTCAATATACCTCTCTTACAAAAATTTTAAGAGTTTTAAACCCAAATAACTCTAATTATATTCAAATTCTTATTAAATATAAAACCTTGAAATATTAATTAATTGAATTCTTATCACGTGTGGAAGCAAAAAATTCGAGTTTTTTTTTTAATTATTTATTTATTTTATTTTTAGGCGTTCCTTAAATGAGAATTTTTCTTTTGTCAAACTTTGAAATAATTCTATAAAATTTTGAAATTCGGGAACTGGGTATACCTTTCAATTTTTCATCTCGATCCAGGAGTTGTCCTCTCTAATTATCCTTTACAGCAATAGTTGTACGGTTGAAAATAATTTGAATTCACAATATAATAATATTGATTTACAATTAAAATTAATTTGTAGTTAATGAATAAAAAGGTATTTTTAAATGCACTTGGCCTGAAACTTTGGGATCACTTTGAACATGCAATCCTCTTTTTTTTGTAGTTTCGAAGTTCGAATCCCATTTTTGTTATTTTGTTAAAAAAAAAGTATTTTTAAATATATAAAATTAATATATATCAATCTTAATTTTTAAAAAATATTAAAATTATAAAACTTAAATTATGTTATTTTATTTAATAATTAAATTTTATCCCATAATTTTAACCCTCATTCCTCATCGATGGCAACAGCGACGTACGACCCCTTTTGCAAGCTTTAATCCTTAATAATTCTTTCTTTCGGCAACAACAGGGGAAGAAGATCACTCTCTCCGATAATTCTTGAGTACAAAGCACCAACATATTTTTCATGATTGTGGAGAATCAGAATTTGTGTTTCTTAATTCTGTCCCTGTAGCCGTCAGCGAGAAGCAGAAAACTTGCATTGGGTGAAAAAAGTAGTAGGCGTTAATTAAATAATAAAATTATGTAATTTAAGGATTGGGGTTATAATATTTTTTAATTTATTATAAATAAATATTTGACTTTTAAGCACCTGGTCTTTTGAGCCAAATGATTTTTTGGGTCAAGTGACTTTTGTATCACTTTGAAGGTGCAGTTTTCTCTCTTTTGATGGGTTCAAAATTTGAATCTCACCCACGTGACTTTGTTTAAAACAAATATATATTTGACTTTTATATCCATTAAAAAAATTTTAAGATAAATATGATAAAGGAATTCATTAAATTTTCATTAAAAAATTTATTAGTACATATTTTGATTGAACAGTCTTTTAATACTTATCTAATTTAACCATTAAAATACAATTTAAGTATAGCTGCAAACACTCAATATTATTACTTTCAGTGAAAAAAGATGACTACTAAATTATTTAAATAGTTGATAAATAGATATATTTATATATATGTAAATATATATACTTGCATATTTTGTTATATATACGAGGTTGTTTTTATATTTTAACTTAAACATTTTGTTATAAGTATGAATTCATATATTTCTTTATATATATACACTGTATATAACTAAAATATACATTTTAAAATAAATTTAAGTATATGTTAGTATTGTTAAATGTTATAATATTTAATAAGTATATTTATTAGTGAAGTTAATACTGTTCTGTACCGATTGGTACGATCGGTACGTACTG